ATTTTAAAATGATTTTTTCTGCATTGGTTAAAACATTTTTCTCTTAAAACCATTCATGTGTTTTCCATAGTTACCTATGTTTTGACTGTATAACTTAGAAATATAATTTACTTAAAAGAACTTTTATTAGGATGACATTTTATATACTGTAGTCAGTGTGCCTTGGTATGTAGTATAAATGTATTTTATAATACTGGGAGCTCTTAAAAGAGCCAAAAAAAAAAAAAACAACACCCTCATAACTTAGATAATGGAACTCTCCAAGGGCTTATGTTTACTCAACTACTCTGTAAATTCTAGTCTTCTCATTTAGCTCGGCCTCTATCCCACTGTGAACATGACCCATAAGACTGCTGAGTAAGGCAAGGTTAGTAGATGACTATTTTGAAGTTTCTAGAATACTGCTCAAACATTACACCTGTGTGCCCCATAAATCAAACTATTTGTGACTAAATTTCAGCAGTTAATTTTACCTACTTAACTCTCACTGTCAGGATGAGTATGTTCCATATCCCTTTTATTCATGATATTAAAGTCTTTATAATTTCATGCCATTAAAGTTTTGTCTTTTATTTTGTAAGACAGTTAAGAGTGTCCTTTACTATCTTGCCTTGACTGCCATGAATTTTAGAGCTCTCTTCTAGTGGTTACGCAGCTAAAGTTTTCATGTGATCATCTTCTATGTCTCCTACTCTCTCCTACCAATCAACATTCATTACAGCACTTCTGTCAGGTAGTTTTTGATTATAAACATTCTTAATTCCTTTTTGACATTTTGCGGCAGACAAATCGAATAAATTCAACAATTACTGAGTGCCTATTTCTTGCTGTTAAGCTCTGTAATATTGGCAGTAGTGGAAAAGGATAGGCGATGGTCTTAAGAAACCAAAAAATCAGCGATTCCTAGGAAATGCTTTGTTCAAACAGGAATTAATAGATGTATTTTGCTAGGCACATGAGGTACCCATGTTAATTCTTTCATTTGTAGTTCAAAGTCATCATGAGGCTAAGTGATCATTACTGAAGCATACATATTTTCTAGGGCTATTATGTCTTAGATTTAAAATTTGAGAGTGGAAGCTGGGTATCTCATAGTTTCTGAGTTAGCAGTGCACATACAATTCCAGTCTTTTCTGTTCCTAAGCCTCCACAAAGGGTTGTGGAGCTGGTCTCTGTGAGAACACACTGCTCTTAAGCCTTTCAACTTGGGGAGAGGTGGTTTGTTGGAGGGGACCAGAGGTTGCCTCAGGGAATCTCTAAAAAGATGATAGTGTGTCTGATCCATATTATGAAATGACTTTAAAAAGAGCAGGCATTCCTGCTTTGAGTCTAACAGGAAAAGAAAGCTTTGTTCAGTTGTTCATGTTGTTCTTTAATGAAGAAGGTTCTCTTATGCTTTGTGAAACTTTTGAATGCATACTCATTCCTTTGAAAATTCAGACTACTACATAAAGGTGCACAAGATGGTAAATAGTGATAGCCCATGACTTAAAAAGTTGGCCAATACCATCGCTTATGAAAACACTGAATTTTACACATATTAAAATATAAGTTAAACATATCTTTCTGCAATTCCATGACCTGACTTTTAAAATAAGGTTTGTAAATTATTCTAACCTAGATGTGTCATCCCTTGCCCTATAAAAGAGAATATAGTTGTTGCCTGAATTTTTCTGGAACTGATTGCCCTTTACATTGTTCTCATCTTTTATTACTTGCTTTCTCCTTTTAATTGTTGGCCTTTTGCTTATTTTATTGTTTACTAACACCTTTCCTGTGATAGGCAGAATAATGCCCCCCCACAAAGATATATGGAACCTTTGAATATGTTCCTATGAATCTCCCCTCCCAAGGATCTCTAGAACCTATGGATATGCTGTGTTACTTGGCCCAGGGAAATTAAAGGTGGCAGACTGAATTGCATGTGTTCATCAGTTTACCTGAATTAGAGAGATTACCCCGGATTTTCTGAATGTGCCCATTGTAATCACCAGGGCCCTTAATTGTAGAAAAAGGAAACAAAGAGGAAGGCAGAGTGAAGCCACATGAGTGAGACTTGGGCAGGGGCCTGAGAATATAGGAAAACTCTAAGCTGGAAGAAGCCAAGGAAACAGCTTACCCCTGGATCCTCCAGAAAGGATTGCAGCCCTAATGATACCTTTGGTTTCTAACATCCACTGAGTCTCTTCAGATTTCTGACTTATAGAACTGTAAGATAGTGAATCTGTTGTTTTAAGCCAACAAGCTTGGGGTGATTTGTTATGGCAGCAATTTAAAAAAAAAATACATTTACCGGTGTTAGAGAAAGGAAAATAAAGATAAAACTCGGGGTAGTTCATTCAAGAAAATCTTGCGGATTGTAATTGCACCTCAGCCCACTCTCACCGTGTCCATCATCACAGATAATCTGCAGTGGCCAGTTGCTGCTCTGATGACTTGACATAGGCTTCAAGACTATATCCCCTGGGTACAGTCTGCCTCCACTCCACCCACTTGGCTTTATCATTGGAGCCATCTTTTCACAGAAGAGATTTCATCCTGTTATTTCTTTCTGAAGTCCATTTTGTGATCTTCCATTGCCTACAAAGTAAAGCCCAAACACAAAGCATTATATCCGAGCCCCTTCCACAGAAGCTTCTGCTACAGTCCCTTGCTTACTCCTCTACTTTTATTTGTATTTTATGTTCAGACAAGGTAAAATGCTCAGGCTCTGTGAACCCAGCATGCTATTGTGCTCTTTTTTCTCTGAAGTACGTTGCCTCCTTCCCCTGGGTTGCCTTCCTGCATTGTCATCTGGACTGGCCAACTCATGTGAATTTTTCAGTGCTTAACACAAAGATTAGATTCCCTGGAAAATCAAGGAACCATCCCATAAAATGAATCATTTTTTTTTCCTGTCCTTTATGCCACACTATAATTTGTACATCTTGTGATATTAAAACCAGTTTGTTTCCATTTCATTCTCCAATTCTAAACTGAGTCTCTTGAGGGCAGCAACAGACTCTGATAGCATCTGTGGGATCTTATCACTCACGTAGCTTATACAGCAGGCACTCAATAAATATTCAGTGAATAAAAGATTATATTTCCTGGACAGCACACCACAGAGATGCCATTAGAATTCAGCTTTCTGAATCCCAGGACACTGTTTTTTTGCATTCTGCCTCTAAAACATTGGCACCACAAAAGGAGTTTTTTATACTTGTGTAATTTTTCATTTTAAATAAAACAGAAAATAACTTAGTTTGATACCACTACCATTTGTCTCCCCTAGCTGAACACTTGGAATTTCATGATTTTTATTATATCAAAATAAAAACATCAAACAGCCTCTGTGGTTTTAGTTTGTTTTTTTTTTTTTTTTTTTTTCATGACTGCTTTTCTAAGAATCAGTTTGTGCAGTGTATCTGTTTTTATTGCTAAAGCATTGGGGAGATTCTGAAATTTAGTAACACGGCAAGTATCAAATTATTTGGGCTTTAAAAATAATATTTGGATTATCTCTGAACCTATTTTCTGCCTTTTCAGGCTTGTTTTTATGTTAATTTCTTGGTGGTCACACATAGGTTTGACCTTTTATGCAGGCCTTTGTGAAAGTGCATACAGATTTGGAAGCTGGGATGGATTGGTATCATAGTTTTTATCATCACTTCACATTCTGACTGCAGAACATTCAGAATTTTCATGATGATGGGCGTGATTCCACTGGTAATTTCCTTTTTTAAAACAGTTGTCAGAATTCATATTCTGTAAAACTCATCATTCATGCTGCATAGTAGTTTTTTAAGTGTGGTATACTATTTTTAAAAAACGCATTTTTTTCTCAAAATGAATGAGTCCATGTTAATATTTCATGTAATAACCATCATTGCTAATTTTAGAAAGTAGTAAACAGAAGCCATTGATATATCAATGAGACTTAAACATATTTAAAATAGATTTTACTTTTGAAGTACTATGGAAGTATTGATAAATATCTGGAAGCTACTGATTTTTAACTATGGAAATATCCAGCTTACTCTCACATATTGCTTGGATGTCCACTACTGTCAGGTGTGCATAAAGTGAACTTGTTTTAGGATAGCTTGAAATGCTAGGCAAAGCTGTGGTTGAGACTATGTATTTAGGATGTGAATTCTACATATTTCATCCTCAATCACTGGAAGTACTTATCTTTCTTTTCAGGTCAACTTAAAGTAATGAGCTTCTATAGCTACTGATATTTCTACCAGAAAAGAAATGTTCCATGGGAAACCTGTCATCCTTAAATGTGCCAGACGTATTTTCTGTTATGTACCAACAAACAGGCATGATGGTCTTTTAAGAACTAGTCTCCAGTGAACTCTCTTAGCACAAGATGAGTCTGCAGAGCTTAGTCGTGCAGAATGTGCTAGAGACTTCACTTCACCAAAGACTCCACTTTCTAGGAACCACAAATCCATTCTCAAGTAGTCAGTTTCTTATCTCCTTACACAGTGCTAGATGTATCCTCACACAAACTTATTTCTTGTGTCTTCTTTGAAGAGATTCTTTACTTGTTTCATTTCTACCATTACATCGCATTTCTTATTATATGCTGTGAGTCATTTTCTTCTTTTAAGGACATTAATTCATTGCTGATTCATACCACAGACTTGGAGATTATTGTTGATAGTTTTTGTCAAAGTACCAGCTGCTGCTGTCCCTAGTGGTGGGTGAGGTATGTTTCACTGAGGAAGCTTTCAGCCCTCTGTTCATTTGTTTAGGTATCTTTTTTTAAAGTGTGTGTGGGGGGTGGGGGTGGGGGGAGGTAACAAAGTACAAAGTAAATATATCTAAACACAGTTTCTGTAATTGTGCTCCTTTAAATAACTGGTCTGAATTCCCTTGATAACTTGATGTTATTACTGTATTAGCCATGATTTTCTTTTTATTTTTTGAGGTGGCTAAATCTTTTTCTGTCTGAATAACTTTGCTTCTTTGAATAAGCAGCAGCAATTGATTTATTCTTTGCCTTTCAGGTACTACAGTGCAACCATTCTACAGATGTCTGGTGTGGAAGATGATAGACTTGCAATATGGCTGGCTTCAGTTACAGCTTTCACAAACTTCATTTTCACATTGATAGGAGTCTGGCTCGTTGAGAAGGTGGGCCGACGAAAGCTTACCTTTGGTAGTTTAGCAGGTAGGTGCCTAGATGAAGAATTCAGTTTTAAACTTTTTTCTAATGATGACAGGCTTTTAAATGACAACATTGAAACCACTTCTGATATTGGTTTCTTTGACAAACAACATAATATGAGAGTAATAGACCAAAATAAAATAAAAATGAGAATTTGTTTATTTTTTGATACTAGGGATCAAACCTTAAACCCGGGAGTGCTTTATCACTGAACTGTATCCTCAGTCCTTTTATTTTTTGTTTTGAGGCAGAGCCTCACTAAGATCCTTAGGTCTTTAGGTGCTCTCTAAATTTTTGAGGCTGCCCGGAGCTTGTGATCCTCTTACCTCATCCTTCCAGGAAAAAATAAGACCTTTGAATGAATGTTAAGATACAAGACTAGTTGGGCTAGGGATGTGGCCAACTAGCGCTCTCCTGGCATGGGTTCAATCCTCAGCACCACATAAAAATAAAAAAATAAAATAAAATAAAGATGTTGTGTCCACCAAAAACTGAAAAATAAATATTAAAAAAAATTTCTCTCTCTCTCTCTCTCTCTCTCTCTCTCTCTCTCTCTCAAAAAAAAAAAAAAGATACAAGACTAAAAACTAGATTGTAAGTAGGAACCAATTGTAAGAACAATCTGAGTATACTGAGGGTAATATTTTTCTGTTATTTTTGGAGTTCAGCTCAAAGGAACAGAAGTAAAAGGAATAATTATTTTTTGTTCTATTCCTTGTTTGAAAAATGTTATATTTGTGAACTGACTTTATGTTGTATTTTTAAGTTTGGAATTATATGGAAACAAATTTGAAGCATTTTTTTCCAAAGCTCTTTCAACAGTGAAATATTGGAACCATATAATTTCGTCACAAAGCAGGGACAAACTCTTTTTGTGTTTGATACAAGCCTAAATCCTAGGATAAGTTCTGATTGGTTAAGTGTGTATTCTATGATGGCTAAATAAAGCAAAACCTTTCTTTTCTCACTTGTCTTTTGTGTTTAAATTCTGCCCATTTATTTCTTTTCTAAAATACAAAGGGCTGTTTCACATGACAAAAATGGGACCCATCTATGACATTTTCTTCACTGGATATATTTCATACTTTTTGAGATTTTTTTCAAATGTCCAAGCACTTTCTTTCTTGCCAATTAGCTGTACTCTAGTAGTGTTTTTAGAAGTGAAATTGGAGTTAAAAAGTACACATTTCCATTAAAATATAAAGTTTCTGGGGTAGCACTAAATTCTGTTTTAGCCAAATAATATCTAAAGTAATGATCTAATAGGACTGTTTCAGGCACTTGTCCCAGATTTTGATGAGAAAATACATTGTGAGTTCTAAACACAGTTACTGGGAATATATAACCTTCCTCCAGAAGGAAGAATACAGTGCTTCCACCTCCTGCCCTTACCTAAGCAGTGGGAGCCTTAAGTCCAGTACTGTGAGTGAAGCTGAAGTATTAGTGCTGAGGCAAAGCAGCGATTGATTAGAGGCTCTGGTAATAACAGTAGCCAAGATATACAGGGAAGCACAAGAGAAAGCAAAGAAGGGTGAGGGACAAGTGAAGGTTTAAAAAACATGTATAAAACCATGTGTGATGAAAGCAGAGGTGGTAAGCCTGGAACAAAAGACTAAGAAGAGGGCTAGGGATGCAGTTCAGTTGGTAGAGTACTTGCCTTGCATGCACAAGTGCTGGGTTCAATCCCCAGCACCACAAAAAAAAAAAAAAAAAAAGACTAAGGAGAAATCCTTTGGCTATCTTAGTCTAGAAAGTAGATGGTATGAGAGCACAGATTTTTACTTCCTGTAAGAAAAATATGTCTGACAATCAAAGCTGTCCACGATGAACTGGGCTATCTCATTAGGATGATAAACAACAACAAAAAAAAAATGGATTACCATCAGGAGTGTTCTGTTAAAAATACACTCTTATGGTGTGCTGGAAATTGGATTTCCTGATACCTGGGGCTTAGGTCAACACTAAGAAGAGAAATAGCTGCTTTCAAAATTTTTAAATGGACTTTTTTCCTTTTTGATAGAACCCAATATATTGCTGCCTCAAGAGGTCTTTTTTTAAAAAATAGAATTTCAGTGCTTAAATTTGATGTTTGGCTTTGGAGATTTAGGGAAAACTGCTGAATTAACACTTTTCCTAGCAGCCTGTGCCTTCATTTGTTGCAGTCCAGCAATATACTTTCTTATCAATCCTGCAAAATTCTTGAGGCATTATTGGTACAGAGCTAGACTGTTTTGAGTCTAAAGTTTGTGATTTTAGGCAAAGTTCTATTTCCTCATCTGTACATGGGGATTAATTATCATTCCTGCTTTATGGAGTTATAAGGATTTAACACATTTAAAATACTCAGGATACAGATAATAAAGTAGAGCATCTTAGCTATCACAGCATCATGAGTAACCAGAGTGACTCTGTTGTTTTATCCACACTTTGAAATAGCCTCCCCCTTCTTAATCCAGGGACTCACCTGGAAATTCATGTTTCCCTTCCCTGTAGGTCTTTTGCCCAGAGAGGTCCAGCAAGCATGCCTGACTCTTGAGAGGAAGTAGTAAGACATTCATAAGAAAGAAAAGACTAAAGACTTCACGGTTGTTTCTTCCCAGCAACATTTAGCCATTTTCCTTTCCTTTTTCTCTTTTCTGCCAAATCTGCCACCATCTCAGCTGACAGTTAAAAATACTTTACAGTCTGCAGACAGCCCCATCCAGAAGGCTTCTGACCACCAGCTGTGTGGTCAGTAGATATTACAGTAGCTTACGAGGCCTGGCTTGTTGTCACAGGTTTCCTCTTTTACCTGCACATATAGAGGTGAATGATGGCATTTGTGCAGTTTCCTGTTTGTAATTGTGGTTAAACAGGTCCACTAGAAGACAATAGCCAGTGCAAGTTTACACTTTGGGAAGGAGGCCTAATTAGCACTTGGCAGCCTTGTTACTTTGTACATTTTCCTCCAGGGTAAACCTCACAGTAGTTGCTTCTTTGACACTGTAATACCAGTTGATTCAGTGGATTTTTTAAAAAATTTCTTTGTTTGTTTTAATTGGTTATATATGGCAGTAGAATGCATTTATGCACTTTGATATCATACATAGATGGGATATAATTTCTCATTTTTCAGAGTGTACGTGTTGTACAATCACATTGGTCATGCAGTCACCTATATACATAAAGTAATAATGTCTGTTTCATTCTTCTATCCTTCCTATCCCTTTATTTCAATATTTTTTGTTTTATTTATTTGTATATAGATACATATTGCTATTTTAATAGTAATGAGTATTATGAAAATGTTCATTTTAAATTTTTAAAATTGGCTACAGCCTAGAATTTTTAAACTTAGGATTTAGTGTTATTCCCTATATTGTGTTTTACTTTTTAAAATGGATTAAAAATATGAAAAATAGGTTTAATCATATCAAGATAATTTTTGAATAGATATTACCCCCAAAAAATTATTATAAATAAACTGTGTTTAATCCCAAAGAAACTCTTTATACAACGAAATATATGTAAGCTGTGGCATATTTTATCATGTTCTCATTTTTAATATTTTCAAACCTTGTTGAGAAAACAATTTAATAGCAGCCTCTTGTTGAATACTGGGAGTCTTGTGTCTATGTAACAGTATTTGTAATAAATCTTAGAAAGCCAGAAACACCGTGCCATTTCCACCTCATAGGCTGTCTCAGAAGCAGCAGTGCTACTTATTTTAAAATGTGAATTTGTGGGCACCATCTTAGATCTAAGTTAGAATCTATGAAGATGGGGTCTGGAGCTGGAGCATTTTGACAGGTTCTGCTGGTGATACTTAGGCACACATTAGGGGAACTAAGGAAAGGAAATGATTTTTTTCTAAAAAATTATTCCAGCTCCGTACTTTGTATTTAATATACCTTATTATCCAACTTACATCACTGTCTTTGAAGAATATCTTTATGGGGAAAATTTTACTAAACGTTTAAAATCTACCAATGTGCTTGGTTAGGAGATACTATTTTCTTGAAATATCAGGAGGAAGCAACACTGCACACTACACAGCAGATGGATTGAACTTTTTTTAGATACAAGAGTCATATTATCCATATTGAATAACTCACCTAGGTTATTTGTACTATACTAACTCATGACTTGAACTGTATAATCTTAACATTTTTTGTTCTTATTCTTTTCTTCAAAAATAACCAACATTATATAAATCCATATAATTTTAATACATACGTCAGCCACTACTTTCTGAGATAAATATGTGCCAGGCACTAGAATTTGACATATAGTTATGCAACTTAGTATTTACAATTTTATCATGGGCACAGGTTATCGAATTATTACTATGAAAGAAGAATATCAGTTTTATTCACACCTTCAAGTATCAGCATTTCCTGATGAAATTATTTTACCTGTTTCACAGAAATGAGCTATGGAAATTGTTTGGGCAAATAATTAAAACTCAAGTTTTTCAATAGATGAGCAGTAAAAGTCATGTTTTGTTTGAAGAAAAGGCTTGATTTTCAGAACAAATTTATAACTCTTTTCTATTTCTCTTTTCTATTTCTCCATTCAGGGCTTGATAGCCTTTTGAGTAAAGTAAAGGCTCAAGCTATTCCTAGTCTGGTCTGAATTTTTTAAGTAAACAGGAAGAAAATACACAGTGATTTTTGGTGTAAGAATCCATTGACCCAGTTTAGCAAAACAGACTTCTGATCTTCCCTTTAGGTCTTTCTTTCATTCAACTTTTTCTCCTACTTTGAAGGTCCACTCTAGCTGCTACTGTTTCTAATGATAACTGCAGCATAACTAACTTTTAAAAATGTTTTAGAGCATTTTTATTATATAAATATTTCAAATGCATAATAACACTTAAACTTCAGTAATTCTGTAAGTATTTTCACTAAATCCCATTTTATGGAAGACAAAATCGAAGTTTGTAAAGGTCCAAGATCGGAATCAAGAAACAGCAGAGCTGAGTGCTTAGGCACAACCCTCAGATTCCAAGGACATCTCATTCCCAAGGTGCTTAACTTGACACATTCCAACAAACATTTCAGTTATTACACAGTCCCACTGAACCTCCATGGTGTTTTCTAAAATTCTTGATTTGTCTATTTCTTTAACCATATATTTGGTCACATCTTAAATTACCTCTCAGTTAATACAATCTTTACTACTACATAAAGATACCCCCTAAATTTCACATTTTAATTATATTGCCTAATTTAAATAAATTATACAAATTAATGCAGCCATTTTGACTTTCTTCCTATCACTCTTTTTGTTCACCTTTAAAATTCTGTGGCTCAAGCAATTATCAGAAATTTGAAAACTTCTTTACCATCAGGACATTGATCAAGAACTCAAACTTTGGTCTTTTTAATAGTCTTAATTACTAAAACTTTCCCTTAAATCCAAAGGTAAGTATTCTATTCCCAAATGCCAATAGGCAAGATAAATGAGGTCATGTGTTATTTCATTCCTGATACCTTAAAGTCTTAAATTTAAAGAAGAAAACTTTCTTTTTAATAAGAAACATTCTCTTGCCTGCTTTAGAAATAAACAGTGTGTTACTTTTTAGTTCCACTTATTTAGGTCTTATATGACTGAAGGCCATTAGAACAATTTCTTGGCACCAAGAGGAATAGTTGATGTACATCTGTTGGGTTTTGTTTTTCCTGACTTGTTAGACTCTCTATAATGTTGCTTACTTTAAGACGTCCAGTAATTCTAAGTGTTTGGTTGTTTTTGCTTTGTATTTCTTTTGTTTTGTTTTTAGAGGAGAATCATCAGTTTTCTTTTTGACTCATAATTGTATTTGCTTTGAATTTTACTCTCCTCATGTCTCAAAATGTCCTAGTGAACTTTTCTGATAATTTGTTTAGATAGTAGAAACTTTTATTTTAATCCAGAGAAGATAAATCAAGGTATTTTTAGAGGTATGATATATGAAATCCAGTCTTCTTTGGAAAAATGTTGTCAAACTTCTCTCTGATATAAAACATTTTCCACCCCCCTAGGTACTACTGTGGCACTCATTATTCTTGCTCTGGGATTTCTGCTCTCAGCCCAGGTTTCTCCCCATATCACTTTCAAACCAGTAGCTCCATCAAGTCAGAATGCTACTTGTACAAGATACAGGTGAGATTGCATTATGTTCTGTTTCCTTAATCTAATTTTGGTAATTTTTTTGTTTGACTTTAACTTTTCTAAAATTTGAGAGATGAGTAGGAGCTTCCTAGGTGTTGGGCTTACATATGAAGGGAAGAAAATGTGAAAGGTGTAGGTAGGTACCATGAGAAATAGCATTTTCAAAGGCATGAGAGTGTATGGAATTAAGGAAAAAGTCAATTGTTGAGACATTATTTTGGTGATATTTCTCTTTAAATTAAAATTAGGGAGTAATGTTGAATCAGGAATATAGCAAAACTATAATTTAGCTCATGAAGGACTCAGTGACATTGCTATTCCAGGTGAAATAGCAATTGGTAATTAATATTTTGTAACATACATATAACTCTGAATATTCTTACAGTTATTTTTCACTGAATTTTATGGGCTATAGCTGCATTAATTTAAATAGAAAAGAACATTTTCCCCCAATATTATGGCTCTTCCAGAGGATCAGAAATTGGACAGTGAGTGTGGCAAAAAGTGAAGCATTCCAATGTCCCACCATAGGCTTAAGAGTCAATTAAGTGTTGACTGTGCACACTGTGTGATAAATGGATGGGTGCAAAGACAGACAAACAGTGGATTGAAGAATGTACAAGTGAATTAATGAAAGAAAAAATGAACAGTTCAGTTAATTTTGGGACAGCATAAATTTTAAGTGAAATGATTTTTATCAGTCCAAAAAGCTAGTAACCCCTTTAAAACATGGATAGAATAAGAAGTGACTTAAAATTTAAAAGGAAAAAAAAAAGAAAAGGAAAAACCAGCATACCTGTAATCCCAGCAGCCCAGGAGGCTGAGGCAGGAGGGTTGCAAGTTTAGAGCCAGCTTCAGCAACTTAGTGAGGTCCAAGCAACTCTGTAAGACCCTGTCCCAAATAAAATATTTTTTAAAAAGGGTTGGGATGTGGCTCTGTGGTTAATCCCCTCTGGGTTCAATCCCCTGTGCCAAAAAGGAAAAAAACAAAACAAAACAAAAACAAAAACAAAAAAAAAACTTGTACTCCTTAACCTCAATCACATGGGCACAAAACTCAAATCAGTGAGTAAATAATTTATGTCATTGCTATGTGAGGGTTAGAGGATATAGCTCAGTGGGAATGCAGGGTTAGCATGAGCAAGGTTCTGGGTTCATGCCCTAGGGCATGTGCATGCACATACATGCACAAAACTGTGAAATTAAAACATTATATTTATACATCAAACTGCACATGGTGTCCACTTAGAGCTTCTAACTGAACATTATTGTGGCATCTCATTACAATAGTAGGAAGAGATTTATTATGTCTTTCTAGTCCTAAAGTTTGATCTCTACTTGCTTTGGAAAATATTTATAACACCTTTCTTTCTCAGTAATATGTTTAACTGTTTCTTTATTGTCTTGCTGATTTTTGTGGTCCTTATCATTATCATATTCAAGGAAGACTTAAAGGTACATTAATAAAAGAAGTTAAACTCAGTGTAGACTATTTCTGCAGTGCTCTTTATTCGCTTATTCAACAACTATGGCAAAAATGATACCACTGTTGGTGGAATTCTGCAGGCTCTGCTTTTTTTCTTGACATTTTAGGTGTGTATGTGTGTGTGTGTGTTTTAAATGTATTATTTTTAGTTGTATATGGACACAATACCTTTATTTGTTTGTTGATTTTTATGTGGTGTTGGGAATTGAACCCAATGCCTCACACATGTTAGGCAAGCACTGTACCACTGATCCACAACCCCAGCCCTGTTTGTATGTTTTGACACAGTTACCTCTAACAATTATTATTTGAAAATTATTGTTGTTTAACAGGATACTTTTCAAAACTAATGTCTGATTTAAGTGCGGTGTTTAGAACAAAGATTGGAATATTGTTTTTAAGGTCAAGTAAAGGCATAAAATCATCTAGAGAGTTAGAAAAAAGTATTATGAATTTCTGATATTAGAAGAAAATGACCATATATATTTGATGGCTTACATAATGAAATCATTTTTATGACATAAACTTTTAAAGGTTAAATAAAAATATTTATTGCCTAAGCATAGCTCATTGCACAGCAATTTATGATCATAAGTCTATTGATGCTCCTGACCCAATATTCATCTAATATTTCACTATAAAATGGTAATGAAGTGGTACAGCAGTCTAGTTTTATCATCACAAAAATAGGGGGCCATTTTTTAAAAAACAGGACAAAATTTTAGGCACCCAATAGGAATTGATATGTATGACAAACATTTATCATGTGCCTTCTTTCAGAGTAATAGACTATGGGAATTTCATAGTATGCATTTATGGTTTGAATGATTCTTATAAAAAATGATTGCTATATTCTTCCTAATTTTGTCATTGCTAAACCATCTTTTAACAATAATCATCTTTTACTTTTTCTCTCTTGAAAACAAACATGAAAATATGTAGTACCGTAGGATAAATAATGTTCATATTGTAAGTGTAAGTTGTATACTTTTCCCGTAGAATGATATACATAAGACTTTGAGCAAATCATACAGATTTAAAAGATTAGTCTTACAAACATAATGTACAAAGTTTCAAGATGGCAGACTAGAGAAGATCACTTTGCTGACTGCTCTATGGCATGCAACCAAGAAAGCAGATAGGTAGAATCCAAACAGAGTGGGTGAACAAAAAGAAAATTGAGGGTTGTTACTGGAATTTTATAGTGGATGTTTAGAGCAGATTGGGGACTTGGGAGGTTGGATGTAAGAGAAAAAGGAAAAAAAAATTCCCAGAGCCACAGATGCTGCCTTGGCTGGAGAAACCAGCCAGAGTAGTCACTCTGCAAACAGAATGGAGGGATAAGGGAATTAAAGGAAGCCACATTTTGGAATCCAGGGGTGTGTCTGGGTATAGAGAGTTTAGAGATCAAAGACACCGCCCAACTAAACTGAAAGGTACACTGCACAATATCCTTGTGCAGGAAAGAAGTCACATCTCTCCAAGCTATCTGCAGAGGACAGTGAAAGGAACCATTATGCAGCTTCAGCATGGGGTCAGCTGCTGGGGGAGCGGATTACTGGTAAACCTGAGATTGACCCAAAATACAGGCCTGGCAAACCCCCACTGCATGACATAGAGCGTGCCTAAGTGACTAGGAGAAAATCAAATGTGGAGACAACTGGTCGCAGAAACCTACCTGGCTCTCCCTCTCCCCTCCAATCTGGCTGCTTTCAGGACTGGCTGGGAAAGGTGGGCCTGGCTGAGAATTCAAAAGGTGGAAGTGAGACAGACTGAATTTGGAGATTGAAACTGAGACCAGAAAACATGGGGTCCACAGGTGATGTAGGGGACTAAGAATTGCCTCCTCCACCACATGTGTAGAGCCCAGGGGAGATCTCTGAGATGGAATCTTCTAGCATAGACTGCAATTTCTGGGCCCTGGAGATGTGCTGATTTAAAATCTCCAGACCAGCTTGTATTCAGCAAAGAAACTGGAGCCCACCTAAGCCTAAACCCTGCTTCTAGGAATTCTGCATACAGGATTCCCTCACTCACTTGAGAAATTTACCCGAGGGTGGAGCATCACACTCCAGAGAACCCCAACCAACACTGCTAAGAAGAGAAGCTGAGAAGCTTTTGAACTCCAAGGGAAATAATTCTTTAACTTTTCATTGAGATTTTTTTCTCTCTTTCTTCCTTTCTTTTCTCTGTTTAATTGTGATCTTAATGATTCATGATATTTATACATCTTCATATCTTTTCTTTCTCATTTATAGCATTTTTGAAGCCAGTTGCTTTTTATGGATCAGTTTTTTGAGGAATAGAATGTTTGATTATTATATTTCAGTTTTTTTTCTTTTATTTTTATTTTTAAAATTTTTACTTCATTTTTTTCTCTCTTGCCTGTTGTCCTTGATTACTTATTTTGCAATTGTAGTTTTTTAAATTTATTTTTATTTATATATGACAGTGGAATGCATTACAATTCTTATTACACATATACAGCACAACTTTTCATATCTCTGCCTGTATACAAAGTATATTCACACCAGTTCGTGTCTTCATCATGTGCCCTTGATTCTCTTTGTCTCTTCTACTAATAGCCAGTCTCTGGTATTCTTTCTCACACTTCCTTTAGATTTTACTTCTGTCTTCTCTTCTCCTCCCTCATAATCATCATATCCTTTATCATTTCTGTTCTCTCCCTGTCTACCATTTGAAATTGTAACCCTTTTGCAAATATACTTTTTTAAAATTTTAGGCAATAATTGATTATATCATTTCTGTTTATTGTGATAATTACCATTATAGACATCATCACAGGATTTATTTGGTTTAATGCCAGATGTTGTGTGCCCTGGTTGTTGTTATTATTTGTCTCCCCCTAAACAGTAAGGTAGTAGAAATGTTCAGAAATGCTGTAAGTTCACAAGGTAGAGAAGAATTAATGCCAATACTCCTGAAATTATTTCATGAAATAGAAAAAGAATGAACTCTTCCAAACTCATTCTATGAAGCTAGTATCATCCTGATATGAAAACCAGGCAGAGATACATTAAGGAAAGAAAATTTCAGACCAATATCCCTGATGAACATTGATGCAAAAATTCTCACTAAAATTCTAACAAAGCACATACAAAAATATATTTAAAAATAGTGCACCATGATCAAGTGGAGTTCATTCCAGGGATGCCAGATTGTTTCAACATAGAGAAATCAATAAATATACTTTATCACATCAATAGACTTAAAGATAAGAATCATATGGTTATACCAATTGATGCAGAGAAGACATTTGACAAAACACAGTACCCTTTCATATTAAAAACACTAGAAAAACTTGGGATTGTAGGAACATACTTCAACATTGTAAAAGTTATCTATGCTAAACCTAAGGCCATCATCATTCTACATGGAGAAAAATTAGAATCATTCCCTCTAAAAACTGGGACAAGACAGGGATTCCCTCTTTCAACTTCTAGGCAACATAGTCTTTGAAACTCTGGAGCAATTAGACAAAAGA